TTGCTTCCCAAAATTTTTGCAGGCCCTAACCATCGAAATCTTAGAAAAAAACGTGGCCCCAGCCAGGCCCAATAACAAATTTCTTATGGGGCGCAATTGAATTTTTTAGAAATTCAAGAAATTATTAACTATATTCATTAAAGGGTGATGCCTCGTTACGCAATTTTATCGGCAAAATAAAACTGAAATGTGCAGAAGGTATCGGACATAATGAGTACAGTAGACTTACCGTAACCCATAATATTGCATTAGTGGAGAGCTAGCATGGTATTCGAAATCAGCATGCCGAGTAATCAACCTTAATCAAATGCTAAACCGAAACTGTAGTTTTGACCTCCTACCGTACGCCTACCGTAACAACACAAGAAGTGATTTCGGTATAGTATAACTGATTGTATCAGGATATTACGAACTCATGGACCGAGTCAGAGCGTAACCAACAGCTTTGACATTTTCTGGCCCAAATACTGAATACGCACAAAATTCTTAATTTTTTACCAAGTCTGCGTTAAAGTCGAGAAAAATTTAGGAGCACAATGCCGAAGATACAACAGTGATGACAGCTACGTCAACTACCCCAGAAGCAGAACATCACGTGGAAAAAAGATCCGCAAAAAGTGGGTATCCAGGCCTTTATCTCATCATTTCGCCAGTTCTGTAAGCAATTTAGCCGGTCATGGCCACAGAGTCTCAGATAAACATCAAATACAAATAAGAGACAAACGATCGACTGACGAAGATTCTGAGGATACGGACGAAGAGCTGACTAGGCGTCGGCGCTCAACAGAAAGTGACGAGGAAGAAGAGGATAAGTCTCTTCTTGAACATGGTGAATATCATGGTCATGCCGAAAGGAAACGTCGTAGCACTAGCGGCAGCGAAGGTAAAATTTGAAAAAATTTCAAAAAATATTTTTGCAAGCTTATTCTATTCAGAAGACCCACACAATCTACTCAAGAGACATATTGGCCACCATATCCTTGCACACGGTGTGTAAATGTTATGTTCTCAAGAATAGACCAAACATCGACTTCTTTTGAAAGGAATTTTTTATATTTTTGCTCTTGGATTTTCTCACATATCCTTAACGGCGTATTTTGCTTATGACTCAAATAAAATTTCAAA